GCCGGCTGGACCCTGCTGCGCCACGCCGCCGCCCGCCGCCTCTTTCGGGTCAGTGCCCTGCCCGCGGGGGACGGGGGCACAGCCCCGGGGCCGCCCTTGTCCCCGTCGCTGGAAGCGGGGCGGCTCCGGCGTCGCGGGCTCCGGGCCTCGGCTGGGATCGGGTTTCCCCTCCCGCAGGAGAACTGGGCCACGCTCCTAGCGAGGGCGAAGGGGCGATCCTGTGCCGAGGGCTACATCACGCAGCTGCGGCGGAGGCTGCGTTAGCCTTAGCTGCCATTAGTGAGCGGGCGGAGGGAGAGCTGCAGGAGCTGGAAACCGGGCTCTTAAACAGCTGGCGCTGTACGGGGGGAAGCAGGCGGTCGCGGCTCTTCCAGACTTTGGCTGCTTTCAGACAGGGGAAGGGGTTGTCCAGCAGTAGGTGAGTGCAGGCTTTCATGGCTGTCTCTGGGGGATCTGGCCTCACCTGGGAGCAGACGCATCCCTGACTTCCCAGTATAGAAACCCAGCACAGCCTTTGCCGTGGCTGCTTATGTTCAAATCTGATATCTGTGGCAATTCCTCTCTTAATGTTCTTGCAGGGCCTGAAAGGCTCATGTCTGTAAAATGAATTAATTCCACGTGTCCTGAGAACGCCGCCTCGCTGCATGTTAATCATAAATAATAGATCTCGGCGCTCGCCTTGTAGCCGCTGCGCATCGGAAGAGGAAGGAACTTGCTTACCGCAAGGACGTGCAGCCTGGCTTACCCTGCACCTTAATTTAGTGCTGGCTGTGCCTCCCCAGCCATGACACGAGGCACCTAAAAGAATAAGCCTTTTCCTATCTCTTCTGAAGCTGCTGTTATCTTCGGTGTGAGTTCAGGGTGTATCAGGAGTGCAGGATCCATCTTCTCGTGTCCCTAGAGTGCACCAATAACCATAGTTGTGTGCTGTGCCCTTGCTACGTGATCTCTCTGAAGGGAGATAAAGCGTGGGCATGAGGAGGGGAGGTGGGGACTGGCGTGGACTTTACCTGTTGCAACGGGTCAGATTTTATCTCTGTGAGAGGTGGTTTTTCCGAATGATCTTTGTTCCAAGGATCACTTACTCAGCCTTCTGCCCTTGTGCCTAGAAACCTTGCGAGATATCGCTATAGGAAGGGATTGCTTCTGCATGGGGGGGGAGATGAGCCCAGGTTGCTGAGTTGTGGTATCAGGCCATGACTTACCAGATAGGAAGGGCTCCTGGGGTGAGTCCTTTTTGGCTGTGCAAGGGTCTGGTCTGGTCTGGTCTGGGACACGGCTTCTCTTTCTGTTCCTTCGTGGGTGAATGGAAGGTTTCTCCTCCTGTCCCCCAGCCCCAATAACAACCCCTTGGCTTGTGAGCATTTCAGTGTCTCTTCACCTCTCTGACCCACCCTGTGGCCTGGTGCAGCATCGTCCTGGCTGCCCTCAGAGATGAACAGGCCAAGCCTAAGCAAGTGTCTCCTTCACTCTGGTCCTCTCATCTCAGGTGCCATGCTCCTCCTGATATGATTTCTGGCCTTAGCTGGTTTCCAGAAACCTGCAGACTTTGATAGCTCCCCCTGTGGAGGGCAAAGCCCAAGGGAGCAGCTTATAGTTGGACCTGGAGAAGTTAGACAAAGCAACCTCTGCAGCCCTGACTAACACGTTAGAATAACCTGGGGGGAAGCTGGGGCCTTCTCTGAAATTGGGACAGGACCTGAGCCCCTTGCTTTGGAAGCATTGGCCTGTTGAGCTCTGCCTAGAGAGCCCCAGCTGCTGGGCAGCAGTGCATGTCTTTTACATGCTGCTGAAGGGTTAAAGAACTAGAGACTCTAATTTAAAATCCAGGGAGCTGGGGCAGCAGAAGTGGTGCACACTGCAAACAGTCAGGAACTAGAGCATACCATGAAGGATGGAGTAGGAAGAACCCTCCTGAGCTTTTTTTGTGAGGAAGCTAAGGATAGAAACATTGGAGACAATGTGTGGAGCTGGGCAGAACCTGGGCCCGTTCCCCTGCCAGGGTGTATTAGCATCTACCCTGCACTCCTGATGGGTGCAGAGCTGAAAGCAGGGGAGATTTTGCACCTTACGGACTAACCAAAGTAGATATAATATACGTAGCACAAACTTTCAGGAAGCTCACTGTGTTGGATGTTGTGGAAGGACTCGCACAAAGCCGTGTATAAGATGGAGAGAGAAATTAGAATACAGGAGACCAGGGAAGGGGTGGGGAGAGGGGGCAGAGCTGGGAGAGGCAAACAACCATAGGAACAAAGGAGTCACAAAAGCTAATCCAGTTAATGGGACTAGGGAGTCTTATCCCTGTTTAAACCATATTACCAGAGTCCAGCCTGCGGATGATATGCTGTTCCGCAATTTCCCATCCAAATAGTTTTTTAAAAGTCTGCTAAGAGCAGCCACCCTCAGGCCAGTGGTGAGGAGTCTAGGGAGGTTGAAGGGCTCTGCATGTCGGCATGGTGTTCATTCATTCTTTCACGTAGGGATCACCCCATCTGCCTGACGGAGACAGCAGAGGAGCACCGGGAGCAAAGGATGGTGGAGTTGCAAGTGAACAAACTTCAAATGTTATCATCCATATTATTCAGCCCAGTGATGTGGTCTGTATCCATGTTGGGGCACAGAAGGCATCTGGGTCCGTTGCAAGACCTGGTGAGACTGTTGCTTGAGAGATGCCATGTGAGGGTGGGGAGAGGCTGCCTGTAACCCAGGACAGGTTTGTCCCCTGTGACTACTTGGAGATGGCCCTCCTTTTTCAGCAGGGGTTGGAGGTCGTTAATGCTGCGTCTAAGACTTTCAAGCCTTGTCCGGTGGTTGGTATTGGAGCAGTCAGAGCAGGGTCTGAGTCTGGTTTTGTTGATTTGAGTGGCTAGTTTTGGGGTTGTACCAGTATTGTAAATTTAGGAATCCCTGCTCCAGATTCTTAGGGTATGCATCCCTGGTGAGACCAAGCAGATAGGGTTGTAAAGTAGAGCTTAGCTGTAGACAGTGGATCTAGTGGTGTGGTTAGGATGAAAGCTGGTGCCATGCAGATAGCTGTAGCGGTCTGATGGTTTCCAATACAACGTGATAGAAATGCGGCCGTTGCAAAGCTCCACTGTCATGTCTAAGAGACGACTTTGCTGAGTAGAGTATTCCAGAGCCAGTTTGGCAGAGGGACAGAAGTGATTAAAAGTCCTGATGAAACTTGTCTAGTGATTCCTTCCCACGTGTCCCTGCAATGAAGGTGCCATCAATGTACCTTGCGTAGATTATGGGAATGCAAGAGCAGCTGCAGAGAAGATGGTCTTCAAGGTCTGTCATAAATGTGAGGGCATACTTTGGGCCACGCGTGTGCCCATGGCAGTGCCATTTGTTTGTAAGTATATGGAGCTCCCAAACCTGAAATGGTAGGCGAGGACAAAGCAGGAGAGTGTAATGGAAACAGAACCGCCATATCTCAGATGAGATGTTAAAACCCAGGTCCCAGGCACTTGTGGCCATTAAAAGTCTTTCCGGATTTTTCCCAAGCGCTGGGGGAGTTGACACCTAGGGCCTGGCCAGCCTCCAGCCTGAGTACAAGTGTCCTGCCTTGCCTTGCCTTGCCTTGCCTTGCGTGCTCAGGGAAGCTTGTGCCACCTTCGCTGCTTGTTGCTGCCTGGCTCCGCCCTGACAAGTTCTCCACTCCTCGGCCTGGAGGACACTGGTTGATCTCTAGGTGGGTTTAGATTTTATTGTGACATCCTTCGCAGAGGAAGGTGCAGTGCAAGGAGAGCATCTGCTTTGGAAACCAGGTTTCATGTGACTTGTACAATGTGGTGAGCAATTGTCCTGCCCTCCCATGGGCTGAGAAGTGATGCAGCCCCTCTCAGCTGGGGAATGCCCTGCGTCTTTTCCAGCAGTCACATCTGCTGTCCCTTCTAGCACCTTATTTTGGTTTTAGGAGCCCAGTTCCCCTCACCCCTAAACGTTGGCTCTAGCAGCCAGTGCAATCTCCAGCACTTCTGTGCGTCATGCCTGGTGCCTCCCCAGAGTGTGGTTCTGCATCTTTCTGTCAGTGGTACCACCTCATTGATGTCCCCTAGTCCACCCAGGGTTCAAAGCAAAACACTCCCAAGCCCTGTAAACCCAGGGAGAGAGACACAACAATGGGCTCTTTCTTCTCCTGGGAATGAAGGCCTTCTTGTTGGTCTCAGGATGGGGGCTGGCTTCCCTGTGCTGTTATGTCAGCGGTCAGGCATGAGAAGCACTGGGCTGCTCAGGAGCTTAATCAGCCCCCACAGGACCCCATAGGCATGTGCTCATTGTCTCCGGAGACTCCTTGTCCTGCTGCTCATCTCTTATGGGGCAGATATTACTGCTAACTGAGGCCCTGAGGAGGAAACAGCTCTTAATGATTCACAGCAAATAATCCTTTTATCGCTGGTAACTGGCAAAGCATTTTCCAAACCTCAGTGCAGCTGCGCAGTGCATGATCCTTGTCTTTCAGGTGGTGAAACAAGGGCCCAGAGAGGAGGCTCAGGGACTTGCTTCCCTGCCCCCACAAACTTGGTGGTAGGCAGGGGATTAGAAAGTCAGGCATCTCTGGGCCTGTGCACTTAGAGAAGAAGCCACAGTAATGGCCTTTTGGGGTCAAACTCCAAGGAGTGAGATCCTTAGGTTTAAAGCAAGGCGCAATCTTGCTTCATTTTTCTTCCATGCCTCTGAATGCTGCAACAGATAAGTATAGGAGACGTATGTGGGCATGAGCAGAGCCCACACCTTGCTTGGGATCAAGGGGTAGTGATGGGGCCCAGGTCTGAGTGCTAAGGGACTAGTAGCACCTGCCTTGCGGTGCAGCTTTGGGGTGGGGAGGACCATGCCCCAGCTTTGGAATGAGAGCCTGTTGCCCTGGCTGCCCAAGGATCTGCCCTTGGGAAAGTAAGGTTGATTAAGCACTGCCAGTTCCTAGGGCCAGGGACGCCATGTGCCAGCCCTTCCCTTTCATTCCTTTGGAGATCTCTCCGTGCCTGGGCGTGAGATGTGGCACGGCTGGGACTTGGCTGGTGTTACACCGCTGGGCTTGGGGGTACATTTCCTCTGTCAAACAAGCCTCAATTCATGCTCCATCCTGCAGAGGCCTGGAAGAGCAGTTGTGTTCTGCTGCTTCCCCTCGTGGTAGATGGAAAGGGAGGGGGCCATGTTGCTTCTCGCCCGTGCTGGAGGATAGTTGACAGGAGAGAGCCGAGCTTTCTTTTCACCCGCCACGTTGCTGAGGCCTCGCTGGGTTTTTATTGAGTGTCCCTTTCTAGTTCCTGGGCGCAAGCTCAGTGTGCTGTCAGATGATGTGCTTGGTGCAGGACACGCGATGGCATCCCCAGAAGCAGCGATGGGAGGAAACGCCTGCTCTCAGTTCCCTTGAAAACCAGGGAACGTCTGTAGGGCCTGTTCAAGTTTGGGGGTCGGTGGAAGAAGTGCCTAAGACTCACAGCACGGGCCCTTTAAGTGCAGCCATATGACCACATTACATCACTCGCCAGAGCCCGGGGGCTCTCCCAGGCCAGCCAGCAATGCATTGTTCCTGCTGCAGCACCCGTTACCCCTAGCAACACAGGCATCTCTCTGCCGTTGCCTTGGGAACCACAGTTGCCCAGGGGCGAAGAGTGTGCCCCCCTCCCTGCCCCAGAATGAAGAGGAGGAAGAAGAGGCGCCCGCCTGGCGCGGGAACCTCCCCTGGGGGTGCTGGTGCCAGGTTCTGCTCCGTCATTCCTGGGCCGCGTGACCTGCTGATTCCCACCCACGCAGGCAGCCCAGATCCCAGCCGGCATCTGTGTGGTCCCTGCCCCAGCCTCCCCACGGATGGAGGCGCTCTCCCTGCCCTCTCCATCTGCTCCACATCTCACCCCAGTGCCGGCCACGGCTGCGGTTTTGCAGGGGGCTCTGTGAATGCCCAGGGGTGCCCGGGGCTCTGGGAGGCAAAAGAGTCGGTCTGGATTGCTCAGTTTTCAGCCACGGAGAAGGAGCTAGCGCAGTGATTCTCAACCAGGCTGTCGTGGCCGTGATTCACAAGATACACCCAGAGATTTCAAATAGGAATCCGTCATGTTGAAACCACGCCAACCCGTTGCAAGCTTTCGGAGGTCTTTGCAAAAGAAAAACTGCTGTTTTTCCATAGTCGGAAAGGCTGGCGTTTTGCGGGGATGCCCCTTGTATCTAAAAAGCTTGAGAACCACTGAGCTAGAGCCTTTACTGAGTATCTGCAATGGGTAAAGGAGGAAGCATGGCCTCTCCCGCAGCTCGGCGGTGCTCAGGAGGGTGGGCTTCTTCCACAGCTGAAGGAGACGGTTCCCTGGGGGCATCGCTGTAGTCCCTGTGGGGTGCTGGTCCTGGGTTTTCAGAGCACTTTACAGGTGCACATGAAGTCGCTCAGTCTGCATAGCACCTGGCTCTAGTATCCAGCAGGTTTCAATCTATTTGTCTTCGCCCTCCCCCCACCCTGAGCTATTGTCCCCATTTTACAGCAGGGGGGACTTGCACCCGAGAGTCTTAATGGTCAGACAGCAGAACGGAGCCAGGCCTTCGGGCTGGGCCTCTTGAAACAGGCTCCCTAAACTACGCAGCAGCACAAGGAAGATCCAATGTGGACGTGGGGCTGAGAAAAGGCCCGTCCAGGTGCCTCTCAGCTCTGCCCCGAGGTCTCTACTCTGGCTCTGCAACATGCCGAGCTGCCTCCTAATGGGGCTGATTTGAGCTCCTTTCTGTGTTCTGTTTTATGGAGTCACAAATAATTCATGCCTCCAGCCTGGGACTCCTGCCTGTGCATTATTTATCCTCCCTTGCTGCTGCTGACTGCGTCTCCCACTGGAGCGAGCCGCAGCCACGCTGCCTGGTTCGTGCTTTGCATGAGGGCGGCTGCGCCGCAAAGGCAGGCCTGGCACTGCGGTTGGGGGCGGCCTCTCCTCCCTGGGGGAAGGCACAGGCTGAACCCGGATCTTCACCACCTCCGTGCATTTGGCAGCTTCTGACAGGGGTGTTTTGTAGAGCTGGTGCTTCTGGCCCCAACGTGCTCGGATGATAGGAGATCTGGGGGGAGAGGGCAGCCCTTGGAGGGGAATGAGCACCCTGCTTGCAGCCCTGAACAGCTGGGGTCTTAATATAGCCTTGGAGCATCAAGGCGCCAATGGGAGCCAACCGGCTGGCTGCAAACTGCTGAGCTGGGAGGGGGTCTGGTTACTTTGCAGGCATTTTGTTTTCATCTTGAGCTTATCTGGTGCTTCTCTGTGGTGTTCCCAGTGCCTGGTCTGATGCTGGGCCACGCTGAGTCCCTTTGGAGCCGGGACCTTGAGCCAGGCTCCCGTGTATGAATCCCCAGGACACCCTGCTCTTGCTGCTCCCAGCGGGCCTGACTCCGAGCACTGTCCTGGGATCCCTGTCTGGCCACAGTCCCCACCCCGCACAGTTGGCTTGCGCCAGACCAAGGGACCGAGACCTCTTGCTGCAGTTGCTGGCCGCGTCAGTCAGTGCTCCAGGCCCTTCTGTGCTACGGGCCCCTGTGAAATGCCAGCTTTGTTATCTACGGCTCAGGACTTTCAAGACCTGAGGGCCTGCTGGATGGAAAAGGCTCCTTTCTGGAGCAGGGTGCAGTGCAGAGGCCTGTCTGCAAGGTGCCTGGACCACAGTCCAACTTGCCTCTCCCAGCATAGGCAGCACTATGGTTTTCCTTGCTTGTAATTGCCTCCACCCCTGAGAGAACAAGCCTGGGAGGGGAGGTGGGACTGGAGTGATACCAGCTCGCCCCGGGGTGCAGGGAGTGCTAGCCTCACCTGCTGTCACTTTCTCCCTTGGGCTCAGCCCTTCCCAATTGACAGCAGCGGAGGCCAAGGTGATCAGAAACCAGAGCTGGTCTTGCTTCCTGCTCCTCCTGCCCTGCTAGGACCCCCTTCCTCCCTCACCCTTTTCAAGGTGGTTTATGGCCACTGGCCGCTAGCACTCGACTGGTATCGGGGCTGTTAGCCCAGGTGCTTGAGTAACCCGGTTGAGGTTGGGACTGGGTGGGGAGCTGTTCTGCCTGCCCCTAGGCCAGCTCCTCCCATGCAACAAAAGGTGGGGTGACAAGGACGCCTCCCCACCCCCCACTGTGCCTCACCTCTGCCCTCTCCACACAGCCATTTGGGAAATGGTGTAACCTGCGGCCGAAGGATGCTGCCAAGATGCCAGAGAGTGCCTGGAAGCTGCTCTTCTACACACTGTCCTGGTCCTACGGCACCTACCTGCTCTTCTTCACTAACTACCCCTTCTTCTACGACCCACCCTCCGTCTTCTACGGTACATTGAGCGCCACTGGCACAAGGGCCAGAGCACAGCAGGGTGCCCAAGGGGCGCAGTTGAGGGGGATGTCCCTCTCCTGCCATCCTTGTGATGTCCAAGACACAAGCGTGTGCAACAGGGCATATCCTGGCTGAGACGGTGTTCCCTGGTAGCTAAGACAGGCAGTCCTGAGCCTAGTACTGGGGGAGCAGGGCCTAGCAGTTACAGCAGGTGGGGTCTGGAAGCCAGGGTCGTATCCCCAGCTCAGGAGTGGGGTTTGTAGTGACGAGGTGGGAACCTTCTTTTCTGTCCTGTGCACGGTTACGCACGCAGTTGTGTTTGGACTTGGTGTGATCCCAGGCACAGGTCTTGTGCACCTGTGAGCTAACCCTGCAGGCCTGATCTTGGCTGGGGCTGCTGCTGGGAGCTTGGGGACAGTGGTGGCTGCAGCAGGGCTCCCACTGACCAGCAGAAGTTGTCGCTTTGTGTGGCCAGGGGCTTATCCATGGTCTTTGTGCTGCTTCTAGACTGGAAGAGTGGTATGGACGTGCCCACAGACATTGCCATCGCCTACCTGCTGCAGGGCAGCTTCTATGGGCACTCCATCTATGCCACCATCTACATGGATGCCTGGCGCAAGGACTCAGTGGTCATGCTCCTCCACCACGTGGTGACGCTGACCCTCATCACCTTCTCCTATGCCTTCAGGTGAGTCCCACTAGGCCCCGACCAGCTGCTTTGATGGTGCATGGACATTTACAGTCCCAGTCTCCAGGGTCCCAGTGCTGGGTCCACAGGCCAGCAGCAGTCCTGTGTCCTGCTATGGGCTCCATCAAGGGAACCGACCAAAGGGCCCCTTGGGCTGTGCCGATGCTTCCCTGCCCAGGGCTGTGCCTTCCCAATGCTAGCGTGCTGCCCTGGGGATCCCCCACCTCCCTCCAGCAGCACCACGATTGGCCTGGTCCTGCCTCTGTTCCCTCCCCAGCCCCAGACAACCTGTTCACAGATCGCCTCCCTCTGCAGGTACCATAACGTGGGCATCCTCGTCCTCTTCCTGCACGACATCAGTGATGTGCAGCTGGAGTTCACCAAGCTCAACGTCTACTTCAAGCACCGGGGTGGAGTCTGTCACCGGCTCAATGACATCATCTCTGACATTGGCTGCCTCACCTTCAGTGTCAGCTGGTTAGTGGGTACCTGCCCAGGGGGTCTGCCCAGGGTAGATGCTCACCATGAGCCCCCTCCTGCTGCCTGCCCACATGCTGGGTTTGGGATTAGGATTCTGCCTTTGCCATGTCACAGTCTGCTGCTGTGGAAATGCAGTGTCACACACAGTTAGAGGGAGAAGGGCCGGGCTTCCAGCCCCCAGAACCTGGCCTTGACAACTCAAAGGATCTGGGCACAGAGGAAGGGAGACAGGGTCATATCCTGCTCTGGATGTCTGTGCCATGATCCGTCCTATCCAGTGCAGAGCGGTGGGAATGGGGTGCAAGAACAGGGGCCCCTGTGCTGGAGAGCGAGGGCCTGCCCCAGGGTGATGGGCTGCAGTCCAGGTCCTCCTCACCTGCCTCCTGGTCCCCTCCATCCAAATCTCTGAGAATGAGGCTGGGGGTAGGAGACCTTTTCGCCAGGGTTCAGGGCTGGGAGAAGGCCATGCTAAATTAGGAGCATGTCGCAGCAGCCAGGCCCACACTGCAGACCTCCCCCTCCATCCTGGCTGCTCCTTTCTCTGTCCCCCACACCCTCTGCTTGGAGCAAGGGGCGATTCTTTTAGCAGGGACTCTGCTGGGACTTGGTGTGGGCTTGAATCAGGCTCTCCATGCACAGCCCAGTGCTGGGAGCACAGCCGCGGGGGGGGGATGAGGTAGGCTTGCCTGGGACCACCAAAAAGGGGTGTAGGGAAGCTGTGCTGATTCCAGCTGCTGCCCCTGGGGTTCCCCTCCACCCTCACATCCCCCCTCGGTTCCCTTCTGTCCTGGCAGGTTCTGGTTCCGCCTGTACTGGTTCCCCCTCAAAGTGCTGTATGCCACCTGCCACTGCAGCCTCCAGTCCATCCCCCACATCCCCTTCTACTTCTTCTTCAACGCCCTGCTCTTCGCCCTCACCCTGATGAACATCTACTGGTTTCTGGTGAGTTCAGCACTGTCTGCTGGGAGCCTGACCTGGCCCCTCCTGCTGCTGCCCCAGGTCTGCCCTGATAAACAGGGAGGCTGAGCAGTGGGAGGTGTGGGAGGAGAGGAAGCACAAAGCAACAGCATCTGCGCAGCAGAGCCAGCTCCCTGCTGGGACTCGGGCTCATTCCCTGTGGGTGGTATCTGAGAGGAAGGGTGGGCAATAACAGAGCAATCCTGAAGCCGTATCCTGGGGAGCCAGGCCTGGCTGGGACCAGCCAAATGTTGATTGGGACATGAGTCCATAGGCAGGCGACCCTGGGGGAGCGGGGAAGTGCATCCTGCCAGGCAGGGTGTGAGCAGCCATATCAACAAGACCCCCGCCAGCAGGAGGAGGATCACTGGGGCTTGTTGCCTGTTTGCTGGCCTATTTCATTCTGGGGGAATTCAAAGCTGGGGCTGAATGAGGGTGAGGACCTCTGCTAGGGCTGGAGCTAAGGCTAGACAACAGCCCAAATGTCTTGGTTCCCCAGTGCGGCTGCAGCTTTCCTAGCCCGGTACCCTCTGGGCCCGGCTCCCAGGATCCATCCCATCCGCCACGCTCTGGGGGGCCCAGACAGCCTCCTATTCACCTCGAAGGCACGTATGTCAGGTTGGGCATGCTCCTGAGGAGGCAGCATGGCCCCGGGGTGGTGGGAAGCCTGGCAGCAGAGAGAAGCAGGGCCTCATGAGTTCAGCGGATTCCCACAGGCAGGCAGAGCCGGAGCACAGGCGGTTACTCCTGGCCTCTGTCTCCCCAGTACATCGTCCTGTTCGTGGTCAAGGTGCTGACGGGGCAGATGCAGGAGGTGAACGACATGCGCGAGTATGACATGGATGACAGCAGGAAGGCACTGGCACCCAGGAAGAAAAACAGCAACTTCCAGCTCCCCAACGCCTTGAAAGAAGGGTGAGTGAGGCAGGGGGCAGCCCCAGCTCAGCAGGCCAGGGGCCAGGGAAAGGAACTGGTTGCAGTGGTAAAACCTCTGTGGGCACTGGCGTCCTGGGAATGGGGCCTATTGGAGGGGCCTGGGGAAGGGCAGTGTCATATTTGGGGCCTGGCATCTCTTTACGCCATGCGAGAGCACGGGAGTCGGGAGGCTGCAACAGAGGGCAGGAAGGGATTTGTTCCCCATCTGTCCCCATACCCCTGTGCCAGCCCCCATGCCTCATCCTTTCCTGCCACACACGAGCAGACCCGGTTCTCCTGCAGTGCAGGGAGCTTCACTTGTTTCATGGCCTCTAACAGTAGCTGCAGATGCTACTGGTCTCCCAGCCTGACTGGATGCTGGGAGCTATGAGCAGTGCCCTGATCATAGCCCCAAACAACCCTGCTGCCTGTGACCAGCATGTCAGACAGGGGCTGGGCCTGCCGGAGCAGGGGAACACGGGGTGCTCTGAGGGGCAGGGCCTCACATCTGCCTGGTCTCACCCCCAGGATGCACCTGAAGAATGGACTGGTGAAGGACAAGCAGTTATAAGGGAACTGCAGACGCTGCAGCCTGGCTGGCTCTGGGACTAACCTGGGACCCTTCGCTAAGCCCAGCCAACCGGAGTCGCCCGGAGCACCTGCCCCAACCCCCTGCCCCTGCCTGGAGCTGGGGACGAGCTGGCAGCTGCTGGGAACAGTCCACTCCTCCCGGGCTCATCCTCGCCCAGGCTTCAATCAATGCTGTGGCCGGCTCCGCTGTGCGGCCTGCCAGCACGTGAAGGGTCGGGGAACGTGATGTTGGTTCCCCAACAGGGTCCAGGTAGGATTTGGAGCTGGCTTTAGGTCCCCTGTGTCTTCCCTTCCGCTTCCATCCAGACCTTGCTCATGGCACCCAGGGTGGGGCCCCCATGAGGAGGCCCAAAGCCAGCTCTGCTACAGCTTGCAGGTGGGGAAGAAGGTGTGCTAGGGAGAGGCACGGCTGCTGTGAGCCCTGCTCTCCAGTAGGGGTCAGTGCGAGGCAACAAGCTGCTGGGAGTGCATCTGGGGCTACAGCATAGAGTGGATGTGGCCCCAGGCCTGTGAACCTGCAGTTTCCTTCCCCCTCCCTCTGGGTGTTGCGCTCTGGCCGCCTGCCTCCTGTGGCCTCAGCCAGACCTGCCTGCAGGCTCTCAGGCTGCTCCTGCCAGCCTGAAGTCCTCTGCCCCAAAGCTTTCTCTGACTGGGACCAAGGACTCCCTATTCCCACCTCTCACCCAGCCACTTGCCATGTCCCCGCCCCCTCCAGGGCTGGGCTCATCCTACTGCAATGCTGCCTGCGCTCCCTTCCAAGGGAGCTGGTGGGATTGCTGCCAGCCCTGCAGGGGGTGGGCCCCAGAGCAGGGGCGGGGAGATGGTAATTGCTTTCTCCTTCCCTTTGGGCCCTGACTTAGATGCTAACCCCAGATAACTGCAGCCTGAGCCACCAGGAGAGTCTCCTGGAAGTGAAAACACAACCGAAGTTGATAGAAACCTGCCTCCCTAATCCCACTGGGCCTGTCAGTCTGCTGCCCCTCTGCCAGCGGAGCTGGGTCAGAGTTGGGGGGGTGGGGGGGGAACTGGTCAGAAGG